TTGTCAGGAATGACGGAATTAAATGGTATCGAAAACCAGGACACTATCGTGACATTCGGTGACAGGATGTTCCATATCGTCAAGATTAACTAGATGGACCTAGCTCATCATCCAAACTTAAGCGAAACCACCATCTGCCCAAAAAGTGTACGATTTTATTCAAAAGATGCTTCCTCAAGTCCTTCTCAAAGTGAGCTGACATTTTTAATATCCAGCTGAGAGAATTGGATTGATTGTGCACAATTAATAATAAAACGATAAATACCATAAACAATAACTAGCAGAAGAAACGAGATGGAATCGATATTGGATTCATGAGATTAAATAAATAATGAACATCATATACGTATGCTAGAACAGCTCACCTCAAAGTTGAAGACACCATACCATTAGGTTGTTTCGTTAACTCTTTAGAGGAACTTAGAAGAGAGGCAGCGGTATCGTTCATGGGCCCGTTGGTCAAGGCTGCGGTAATCGCGTCCTGATGCCGGATCAGCGTGGAGCTAGGGGATTTGACTAAATCCGGCAAGTCATGTGCACAGTTGATATCCGTTTCTTTCGGTGGCTTGGGAGTGAGTTCCATCAGTTCATCATCATCCAAACTGCCCGGTTTACGAAGCAACATATGTCGCGGGCTAGGGTGGGGTTCACGATGGGTGTGCTTGATCGATGAACCGATTGGCATTGCGCCTCGCCGTGCACCACCACCAACACATCCCGAAATTCGGGTAGCTCCCTGGCCAGTGGACTCAGCGGGTCTGGTGGGTGAAGGTTGTGAACCGGCCCAGCCATGTGGAAGTAATGGACTAAGGGTGAAAAGCGCAGCCGCACTTTTCGTCTGATTCAAATCTCCGTGGGATCGATCATCTGAACTAGCCTCAGAACCTTGACAGGTATGACCTCCGGACGAGGAACTAGTAGTGCCCCGACGCAGAAAATGGCTGCGAACCAGACCGACAGAACCCTCGGCCGTTTTGTGACGTCTTCGACCGGTAGGCTGTTGATGACCTTCGCTTGACATCAAGCGTGTAGCAGCTGTGGTAGTTTCGGAGAACGAATCTGTCGAACAATAGGCAAGAGAAGAACGGCCCAAACCAGCCAAACTACCAGTAGTGCTGTGGAATCCGCGGACGTTCGTCACGTGATTATTCGATAAATTCTCAACCACAGCCATTGAACTCGGGGGGTTGTTGGAAGCCGGTCCATCAGAAGCCAGTGCATGTTCAGACATGATGCAAGCACCTGCACCGGGTTGAAACTGAAAAATATATGCAAAATGAGTTGTTGTATATCCTAAGCAGAAAACATAAACAGATCGCATCAGATATGGTAAACGGGACAGGTGGGACCCACCGGAAGCTCTGATATGGTGATTTTCAGCTTCGGAGGCTCATCAGTCAGGAACGGCCGCACGCATTCCGGATTCATACGAAGCATTGTGACAATGCGTTCCATTGACTCCGGTCTTTGTTGCCACTGATGTTGACAGCAAAAATCAATTAACCGAGCACTGGAAGACAAGACATAAAATGTAAAATTGTAAGCAAATGGGTTCCATAGGTTTCACGGTAAAATACTGGCCCACTGAGCTGTTCACACGAATGACTGAAAACAAAGACTTCGAATCATAGGTAGTTTCAACGAGGCCGACTACGAGGAGTGTACAATTTTTGCGCAATCGCCCTTCATCAATCAAGCAAACGAGCCCTGTGAACGTGTGACAGAAAATCCCCAAGTGTATTAGAAAGGAACAAATACATTGGTCAGATAAAAAGAATGAAAAATTATGAAAAACAACCTAACTGTTAAAAGCAAACTTGAATTATTGCTCTTTATGATCACAAGAGTGCACCACATTGCAACTGGAAAGACGTCACTACTAGACAAAATACGGATATAGATATCTATCTACCTATCTGTATACATATATATGGTGACATGCGCAACACATGCACCAACCAACGTAATCTATGGACGTCGACCACTTGTTCTAGTGGACGACTGCGGTTGCTTAAACAGGCCATT